AAAGAACATGCAATTTATCACAAAAGATACTCCCTCTTTCTGAAAATGAATGTCTTAATTTAACATGAGACAATTACTAAAGACAACTTAAAATACAGTTCAAAGACAGAAGTGCAAAACACATCAGGCATCTATATGTGTTCATTTAAATATAAGAATTTTTCTAAAGCATCTCATAGGCAAACGTCCTGCTTGTCACCATATGGAAACATTCAAGGCCATACTAGACTATTGAATCCAGCAGTATTGGTGATGTTAATGCTTGAATAGTCAGAGCAAGATTCAATATATTGTTGGCAATTATATCAGATTTGCAGACATAGTTGTGCTTTTTTCCGCCAGTTTCAACTCACTCAACTGATAAAGGCTTGGAACTACACATTCCTAGTGAAGACTTACAGACAATAGGTAGTTGATAAAACATGCATTACCAACTTATACACAAAACAAGATGCTTCAAAGCAAGATTTCTCGGGCAAAAGGATTGTAATAACTTACCTTAGGAGCACCAATTTTATCCTGTCTGACTTCAATCACATTACCATAAGAATCGATTCTCTTCTTGAATATGTCATGTCTCTGCAAGGTCAGGAAGGCATCTTTAACTGATCAAGCAGGTCAAAGTCTTATAGTATTCAGGAAAGAGAGGCAACAACAAAGAGGACAAACAATTTGCCCAAGTAGGAGATAAACCATTTGAATCATGATAGCTTCATGCTACAACTAGTGCCAAAAAAATTCACATCAGTATAGCAAGCATTACATACTATGTCCAGATGTTCCTCCCCGCTGATATCCATGGCATCAAGACTAAGTAATGAACACCGAATGGCAGGAAAAGTGACATCAAACTGTCACAAAAAAAAAAAGCACCAATTAGTATTTCTATGAAGAAATTAACAGCAAACCAGGTCCATGCAATGTCCTGATTATCACTCAAAACAATGAAAATATCTCCATAAGAAAGTATCAAGTTAATTAAATTAAGTTCAAAGCATCCTGAAATCATTACACAATGGTAACTAGTAAGACCATGATGATTTCCATAAAGCAAATGATTATACAAGTTGAAGACGAGGGATTGAGCAAGAAATGAACATGAAGAGTATAATAGGACACTTGCATCATTTTACACATAGAGTAATATTCTTTACATTGATATGTAGTTTTCCTCCCCTTGAAGTGTCCACTACAAGCTTGGTTTCTGTAACAGTATGGAGATATAGCCCTGCAATTGGTAAGAAGCCACAAATGATCAATAAGATTCACAACTAAGAAATGCAAATTAAAGGAGTCAAAGGAAAGGATACCACAAACGCATGATCCAAATTGCGTTAAATATTATGCAAGCTCTACTAAAGTTTTTCTTTTTTTCTTTTTGTCAGTCCACTAAAGTAGTTTGGACGCATAGGGAATTGCAAAAACTACTTGTAAAATCAAAAGGACAACCTGTCTGCCCAAAATCTTTAGCATATGGTATATCTGGCAGACAAGTTACCAGTATTAGAATCCTATTTGAAAAGCTCTTAGGAGAAGTTTAGTAGCCCATCATTTGACAGCCTGAGAGTTTTCATCACAGAGAGACCACCTTCTTCGCCTTCCATATCTTGCACATCATTCTTATTTAGTCAGAAAAAATGCTCAATTCTACTATTAGACATAGGTGAATCTCTCTATCAGTATCTTGCACATAGTTCCCAATTAGATTGTCAGAAAAACTTGCTCAGTTCTACCACCATATATAGGAGAATATCAGTTCCCACTTGGCGGTGATTTGAAAATTTTAACTTTCCTACAAGACCCTCCACCTTGTTGCTAACTTGGGGACTCTTAAATGTCTTTACTTCTTTTGATATGGGAGTACTAATTTAAGAAATAAACAAAATCTTTTTGTTTGTTTGTTTGTTTGTCTAAGAAGAAGATGATTCTACATTAAGCAAATGAGGCAAACCAACCTAGCCAGAAACCAGAAATCCATACTCGTTATAACACCGTTCAAGTGAATGACCATAATTCTTCAAGAACCTGAAGGCAGCCTGAAATAGGCAGTACGCAATCCACAAGAATTTGAAATTCTTAACGTGAACTAGGAAAATAGCTTGAAAATTGGACCTATTGAGATGAGATTACAGCTTTTCTTACAACAATTTAGAAATCTAGTTGCTTCTCATACGAAGCAGGTATCCACGTTGACAACCGATCACAAAATCATCCAATATCATGTCAAACTCAAGTAAAGCGACAATTGTCCACTTGAATAGCAATGAACTCATACAGAATTGCTGAATTACACAGGGAACAAGGTAAGAAATGCACATGAACCAAGCAGTATTATTATTAAAAAAAAAAAAAAGAAGCCAAATTTTCTTCTCTCCAGAAATAAAGAATAATTGAAAGCGGAGAAGAGTGGGGGGAGGGGGTGCAAGAGGAGACGTACTGAGCTCGGAGATGAAGAGCAAGAGCATAACGATGGAGGAAACAAGAGTGATAACACCACCGGAGAGCGTACGGCTGAAAAAATCCTCATTGATCTTCGGGTAAGCATCCAAGTTCCGTACTTTATTCAATAATTTATTCATCCCTAATTATCTAATCTCTATTCCCTCTTTACCAGCCCACCAATTGCTATTTTACAAATATGATATAGGAGAAGCAAAAGAATTCCCAGAATTCTTTTTCTCCTCTCCGTCTCCGTTCGAGACACAATCAAGAAAGTATAACTCTGACCCGAGGTGGGTCGGTGGCGGCTGCTAGCTCCGGGGAGCTGCCGGCGCCGGAGAGCAAATAATTGCTCGACTTGGTCGAAAGAAAACAGAGAGGCGAGAAGCAGAAGGAGAGAGCTTTTGGTTTTTTGTGCAGCTGGGTTTGATTCTTGATTTGGTGGGTGTTGGTTTGGTTTCATTTGTTTCTTTATGTACATATTTTTCTTTTATTGTATTTTTTTTCTTTCTTATTCTGTCCTTACTGTTTGTTTAATTTTCGTTATTTGTTTGATTTTGAGCGAGGAACTGAGTTAGGCTGATATTGACCCAAGTCGAGCTTCAATATCCTCCCACTCAAGTTCGATGTTCAAATACACTGCTCAAGCTCGAGCGAGTTAGTTATATTGATCTCAAACTCGACTCAAAGTAATATATTCCAGGGTTGAGCTCAACTTGTTAGAGATTAAGTCGGTATGCGAACTCGATATCAAGCTTATACTCGAGTTCGTCAAAGAATTTTTAGTTGAAGGAATAATTTAGCTATTCTTAAAATATTAATTAAATATTATAGCGAGTACTTAATAGAGCTCCACGAACTTTCAAGTACGTAATATCCCATTCGAACTTGATTCGCACCCTTAATCGTGTAGCTCGAGCTCGACTTTGACTGAGTTTGAGTCAAGCACCTGATTGAACAACTTGTGAGCTCTAGTCAAACTGTTCAATTGAGTTGCAACCCCAAACTGAGCAACTGAGCGGAAGTCAATGCCTAGGGAAATTGAGCTCAAGCTCGAGTCGAGTAGGATGCCAACATTGTTCGGCAATATTCGAACTCGATTCGACTCGTGTACACCCCTAGTATTCAGTAAATAACTAGTAGTAATGAAAATTACGGGATACTCTATTAGCCAATGATCTTTATCTCGCATTCCCCAATCTAACACTTATCGTGGCTTTTAAAAGGTGGAATGCATGTACTAGCCAATTTAGTATAAGAAGAAGAGGAGGCTTACCTATTTGGAGACTATAACATGTCGCCCACGCATTAAGTGAATTACAATAATTCTATAAACTGCCTGGTACTTTTATCTTTTAGCAGAAACCTATCTTTGCTATTGACACTCTGGGTTGGAGAAGCATCCCTCGTACTAAGTTGAACTGGGAACTGGTTTTGAAACTTGGCTTGTCTCGTGTTTTTTTTTTTTTTTTTTTTTTTTTTTTTTTTTGTCTCGTGATTGCTTTGGTTAGTAGTATTTGTTCATTTTGTCTTTGTACTTTGGTAGGGATATAGTGATGTAATTGGAATGTTAAATTCCTGCTGCATGTGCTCGGTTTCTTTGATCAATAAAGTAGTTATATTGTCCAAAAAAAAAAAAAGATAAAAATATAATTAAAAATTGTATTTACGATGCAAGTTAAATAATATTTGATTTTTTATTCAAGTCATGCTAACCATTTTGATACAGTGTAATTAATGTTGCAGAGAAAGAGAAGTGATTTTAAGTTTTCGCCCCCACCCAATTCATCCACATTATTAGGTATTATTGGTCGTAAGCTCATTCGTATACATCTGCTATTCGTTGCTCCGTGCATATAACCCACTAAATTGGGATCATTCCACACCAAGTTTTGCACTGTAATTGATTACTCATCTTATATTTTGATAATCTCCTAATCAAACAAGCAAATGGCATAAAATAAACATGAAGAGATCCCTTTTCTGTTCCTCTCCCGACTTGTTTCTTCTTTTTTAGGGAAGAGATACCCATGCTGAAGAAAACACACACCTTTTGTTGGCTTAGAGATTATGATCTAGATTTCATGGGAATACACGGTATACGACTCGATTTAATAATCCAATTTAGATTTTAACGGGTTCAGTTTTTAATATGTTCAAGTATGCTTGATCGTGTAAAGTATGAAACGTCTCAATTAATTAATTAAATGATTATTAATGATTTAGATAAAACTTATTCAAATAATAAGTGAAAAATTGTTAACGTATCACCTAACGCAGAAAACACTTCGGCTCCGTTTGGATTGATCATTTTTTAAAAAATAAGTTTTTTTATGTACAATACTACAGTAATACACAAACAAAAACAATCTCAAAAACACTAAAAACGGTTTCAAAAAACAACTTCATTTATAATAAAAGTATTTTGACCTGCACAGCTATAATAAAAAGTTTTAAAAATTACCTCCAAAAACTGCTAATCCAAATATTAACAATTCTATTAATCACATTCACCGAATGAAACGGGTATAAACAGCTCCTTTGGGCATTGTGACCAAGTTAAAGGGAATTGAGGTATTTCCAAAACGTAAAAAGTCTCTAATCATATGTGCTCCGATTCAAAGCAAACCTCAGCCGATTTCCTCCTCTAGATGGATCATCAATGAACTATGGTACTACTAAGGGGGCTATAGGGCAAAGGACTGAGTAGATTGTTGTCGGCTGATTATTTTAGCTGATTAGGAGAAAGCAATAGATCCATGCATGGGTCTGTAAGCAGTTGAAAACGGCGTCTTTTGAGCAGCAGCAATACTTGTGCTGATTATTTAGCTTAGCTGCGACCGGACGACCAAAAATAATTTAATTAAGAAACGATGAGCTTGTCTCTCCTGCAGGGCTACTCATCTGAAGAAGAAGAAGAAGAAGAAGAAAAAGCTGAAGAATTTGATTATTATGACTCTGACGACGGCGGCAAACGTAGAAACGACCAAGTCTCGGACAACCGATACAAACCCTTGTTCGACCCCAATCCCTCCTCTTCCTCTTCCCTTCCTTCCGCTTTCGACGCTTTCTCCGAAGTAAGTACTAATTATAACTCCCATCTTGAATACTTGAATTCTCCCCCTTGCTGTGAAGACTATCAGCTGACCGGAGAGGTTTTTCCCTTTGTCTTTTTTCCCCCTATTGGAGGTGTCAGGGCCTCCGGAATTTTTGAACAATTCCGTTGAGGAAGCGGCGAAAGATGACGATGGGCAGAAGCGGCGCCACAGTCGCCGGAGAAATCGCAGAGATAAAAGTGATTTACCTGTCGGTAAATATCTACCACTCAAAATGCTAGTCCTTTACTTTTATCACGGTTTCATCTTTGCTAATTTTGTTACTTATTGTTGCGAGTAAATGGGATTTGTCTATTGAGTTCTTCAATGGATTTAATGGCTTATTGTTTATGTTGGTAAAGGAACAAAAAGGGTTCATGACTAACTAGCATGCGTTCAAACCTTCGAGTACCTAGGAAGAGACACAGTAAATATATATACCGCTGTCCATGAAAGCATAGTACTAATCGGATATTTTCGTGGCTCAATCCATGATTTTAATTTCCTTCCTTTTTTTTTAATTAAAAGTTCTATAATATGGAATTATAGGTGCAGTAGTGGAGGCTAAAGCTCAGTTAGTTGGAATCCATGAGAGAGTGAGGAGCGATTTTGAGGGCAACATCCCAAGAACATCCCCCTCTCACTCTGCAGAAGATGCAAAGCGTACTACTTCTGCAAGCAATCTGAATGAGAATGCTGCAGAGCTTATGAGGTATAGTATGGTATTCTGTCTACAACTTGATCCAAACAAGGATAAGTTTGTGCATCCTCTTCCTGTATTCTCACTAATCCCCATTCCCACCCAGAAAAGAATAGAGAAAACTATATAAAAGGGAAATAGAATAAGGCTCCACAAACACAAATAAAATATGTACTTTGATCTTTGAAAGTCCTTATTTTGCAAGAAATAAAGATGTTCAACGAATATGTGATAATTAATTGTGACATGTTGGAGACTTAGGGAAAGAAATTGTTCATTTTTCTTATACAATGAAAACTAGGTAAAAAAGGGAAATCTTGACAGAGATTGAAGCGTACATTTAGCATATGTGAGTTTGTTTTGATTTGTATGTCTGGGTACTGTGATGGTTGGTCCTCAGTCCTTTAATTTAGTGATTTTCTAGTTAGCATTTTAGAGTCAGAATTCCTGTTTCGTTCCTCCATTTAATAAGAACAAACAGCTTCTTGAGTTTTCCTACATGTGATAACTGCCCTTTTTTTTAACTGCCCTTCTTGACTTTTCCTACATGTGATAAACGCTTTATTTTCAGCACTTTAAAATGGTGATCTTCTTGTAAACAGCTTTAGATGTTATAGTTTTCTTTTTCGAGATTAATCTGCAGATTTGAGTACTTGCTGGAGAAAACAATTGTGAGATGGTTGCTCTGTGTCTATTGCCCTCTCAGAGTGTTGTTTGTTGGATCCATCTTCTACATGGTATGACCATAATAGGATGCAAACTTCTTCTTTTCACTCACACAGCCATTCTTGTATTCTTGCCTCCTTTCACTAAGAAATAGCTAATCGAAAGATTCCTAGGATAAGGTTAACCAAAGGTTGGTTTACATCTGGATTTGCACTAAGTAGTAGAGTGATATATTAGAATGTTGAATTGAGGAGGAGAGTAGTAGTTGACTTAAGATTTTGAAACTGGAAATATATATATCCCATTCTCCTTGGATTTCAACCATTTATTTAGATTGTAGAGGCGTTTAGGCTAAAGGAATTGGCTGTACCAGCTTCCAAGTGGTAAATAAGAGATTGAACAGATGAAACCAGTTGTGTACCTATATCCGTGGCTGCATAAAATTAGAATAGAGAACTTGTATCATTTCAGCTATGGTAATTAAATATTCTAGAAGAAATGGTAGCCCAAACTTGATGTCTTCATCTAGCAGTTATGACTGCTTTGCTTATTGTGATACCATCTATGTAATAATGTCTAGTTTAAACTTTATAACCTGGTCTTTAAATTACCATTTCAAATGTAAAAATTTGCTTTGAAATCTGAGTATTTTCATGTGTTCATTCTGTAAATGTATGAGCTTTTTGAAACTTAATTTTGTTTTGCTCATAGGATGTGCTTAACCTGTGGAATGCTGAAAACGTACTCTGGTGCCAAAGGAATGGTCTGTCCAGTTTGTGGTGATGAATCCATGAAGAAGGGATCTACCGTCAAAGACAAGGAGAAGCTTAAGAGGATGAAGGGTCAGTCATCGCATGCATCATGGAAAAGTGAGACAGAAATGCAGCTTAGACAGCAGTTTGATTAGCTTTGTTAACCCTGTGGCCAGGCCCGTGTCATGATCTATGTTATCTATGGACCTTTGCTTTTGTTGCGGTTGGATTATGGATGAGGTGAAAAAAATTTGTAAAGCACGCATTGTTTTCAAGTCTAAATGTGGCAGGCGCCAAGGACAAATATCTGAAACTGTATCTTGAAGCAATCTCTTTTCCTTTCTCATGCCTGATGCAACTGTTCCCGACCATGATGGTAATTGCGGGGGGAGATAACATGTGAACTAAAAGGTAAAATGCTGAATATCAATGCATACAAATAGCATCGAAAACAATGCAGAGCTTGACGTAGTTACTAGTGAAAATTTATGCAGTATATGCGTTAGTTTAGGATTATGAAATTTTTCTTTCGTTTTCTGATGGGGTTTTATTGAGCTTTTGACAACCATGTTTAGCTCATTGGCGAATCCCCCTGGATAGCCTAAGTTGCTATTGGCGAATTGGTTCTTCAGTGTTATTGACCCTCACAGTAAGAAAAATCTTTAACTTCTTCCCTAGCTACTGTACTAACCTTAGCGATTCCAAGAAGACAAGTCCAGCTGCAAATTTCACGAACCCTCGTAGATGCATGATCCATATCAAGGGGCATCCTTGACTCTGTGTTGCAGGATCAAGAATGAATATGTTTGGTTTTCACACCGTCTTCCCTAACTCAATATAGCAGTATTAGGAACCAGAACGTTTTCCTTTCACACCTCCCCCCGTGCGGTTTCGGGCTGGGGCTATTCGTGTCTTTCATTCCCATCCCACTCGCCTAGTCTTTGTGTTCAGGCTTGCGGTCAAACGGGAACATGTTTTTCTTACTTGAACAATAACTAGAGCAGTAATTATGATCAAGATAACACTTGAATCAAACTATTCTGAACATCTCCAGAAGACGACTATCCCTGACATCTGCACGTACTACAAGCGAATTAAACACTCGTCATACTGTGCATACAAGTGGTGAAAATAATATGCTTGCAAATGTCTTAAACTTCCTACTAACGGCACCTATGCACAATCTTCTGCTTTCAAAGCAATCACCATTGAAAACTTGATGCCAAACAGCACGAAATATAATAGTTACAAGCTAAATACAATGTAGAAATATTACATATGATACCCGCCGCGCCGGGGGGAGGGGGGGGGTTGTGTGAGGCGGGGATATCCTTGTTCAGTATCCAAATAGGAGACCAACTTCGCACTTCGCTAAATTCTGTAAAATACTTCTATACAAGCGCACAAGGTAGTTAAATACAATTCCTAGGCCTTCTTCCTATGCTGTATCAGTTATTTCTGTTACATTTTTGGGTCAGCCATCCCCAACACTTTTCTCCGTTTCAGCTGCCATTGCTTCATCATTAACTGATTTCTCAGGCATCACAGGTGGACTACTGACAGAACCATGAATCCGTTTTTTGTGACTTCAATAGGATCAGGTTCCATCTAGCAAAAAGCCTATGATTATAGATAATCTAAGAGGAAAAGATGAAATGTACACCAGCAGTTATGGAGCTTACCAGAGTTGGTGACTTAAAAGACAGAGAGTCTTGGGCAGTAATGATAGGCGACTCTGAAGGCCTGTGAAATAGTAGGTGAGCTATGGACCGATCTATAGGATTTGTGCCAGTTTCCATATCCATAAATCCAGTGCACCTGAATTAGAGTAGTTAAACAGAATAAGAACTGGACTGACCCCCCAACTGAAGATGGAAAAGCAATACAAATAAGGGAAATCAATACCAAATTCCAGTTCAGTGTCCAAATGAACCTCATATTTACCTTCCCCACACCCCCCTCCCCCCCCACACAAAACAAAAGAGCATTTAGAGAAACTCTTAAGAGACACCCAAATCAAAATCGGAAAAAAGAAGGAAACAAAAAAAGAAGAAGAAGAAAATGATGAAGGTAATGGTTTTCTTTTTTGGCAAAAGAGAACATCGAGAGATACCAAAAAGAGTGCAGAGATTATGGTGTCCCCAGCTGGGACAGCAGCCATGCTTACATGAGATACTCCCAGAACCAAATAATTGTACAATGAATCTATAGGTGTGAAAGTTAATAAAAGTGACATGCCTCTTCCAACCAACAAAAGTCACATTTTTCAAGTAAGTTAAGCATCTAATAAGATGGGTTTTTGGTGCCATATACTGCTGTGACAAGGAAACTACTTCTAAAGGGAAAAGTATTTTACTTCTCTCCCAGAACAAGGTTATCCATCAACAGAAATCTTATTGTTGATGAGAATTCAATCACTGGTCTGGCATTCTTCATAATAGAACTTACACATACAACAGCATCAAATTAAACTTAGCTATCTGACGCTCTAAATTTTAATCAGTCAACCCACAATGAATCCCTAAAGAGTAAAAAGTCATTGCCCAAGACCTAAGGAGAAAAAAGGCAGAAAATCTAGAGGTAAGTTACATATCTATAACGTCTTGATAGCTGCACCATAGTTTCTGCAAGCACACAGGTAGCTTTGCATGTCTATGACTATTAAGCATTCCACAGTAAGCACAGATGCCATTCACAACCTTGGAAAACTATCAAAAGACAGTAAGCATCTTAAATGTGAAAGATGAAAACATAGAAATTATGTAGCAGAAAAAAGAGGTTTTACTGATTTAGTGCTGAGTTCTCACAGAAATTGGCGATTGCCACATTCTGCTCTAGTAAACAAACTAGTAGTCAAACAGACCAAAGTAATTATATCTTAATGCAATGGGTAAAATAAAACAAAAGATTACATACTTGTTTGTGCCTTCAGCTAGCGGTACTCCTCTGGCATCTCTATTATCTCCAGAGTAGCTACCCTTCAGATTTGCTTGGTTATGGCGTTGTTCAGCACTTTGGGCCAAGCGGTATAGACTATCTCGTATACATAGCTTTGTCCTCAGATCCAACTAGACCAAGGAGATTCAACCTTGTGAGTAATTAAGTACAATATGACAAGAAAAATAGGAAACTACGAATGTCTAGAATGACCAGCTATGAGGGCCTATTTGGAATCTGTATAAGTGTAGAAATAAGAATTTTTGCCACACTTTACATGTGAGATTCTCTAGTATATCTGACTTTATTTACTATTCTGGTTTTTTCCTTTTATTCTTTGTGTGGGGGCGGGCCAAGGATTGGCATGCCTGGGTTGTGAGAAGGGAATGAATAGTGGGACAAGGTCGCAACAAAGTGTTGATATGTAGTAGTAAACAAGATAAAGACAGGTAGCAGTACAAAGTTGGTACTAGAGAGACAGAAGGGAACAGGATTGTGTGTTAAATGAATGGAAAGGGAATGTGAAGAAGGAACGGGACATGGCAGCAGAACAAGGTAGAGAGACAAAATGACAAGATGGTAGTTGAATAGGGTTCCAGTGCAGGTTTCACAATGGGTGTTTAGATAAATCTGGGTCAGGGTATTGATGAAACATGGTAGTGGGACAGGGCACGGCCAGTGAATCGAGATGGATAACAGACAAAAACCTTGCAAACAAGTATATGAAAACTGAACAATGCAAGCTCCTAACTCAAGCTAATTGGAAGTTCAGAAAAAAAAAAAAAAATCAAACAGTGTAAGCTATTGCTTCAGTTAGATATGACCCAAGCATGACCATAGGTATGATAGACATAAATGTCGGCAAAAGGGGGCTCAAGCTGCTCAATTAAGGAGTCAGAACTCCTTTACATTTCCAAACAAATGTAAATTAGTAGATTATGTAAGAAAGTGATTTACACCCTGCAACATGTGAATGTACAGCTAAAAAACCAGATTGACTGACAATATTTCATTTGATTTAGAACACTAACACATCCTCTGAGTCCTTAGACTTAGTCAACCTTTCAATGAACCTTCAATATCAACTCAAAAGGTTCTCTGTCTGACAAACGAAAAGACTCAAGGAGATACATTCATATAATGTCCACCAACTCGAACTTGTAGACAGGTTAAGTCATCCAATGTAATACATTTCATAATTGAAAAGACATTTACCTGCTCCATAACAAGTTGAAGCTGGCGAAAACTTGCGGCTTCCAGTGAAATTTCATCTAAACCAGAACTCGCAGAAGAGCTCTCCTGCATAGTTGAGGAACCAAATTCTCCAGGAACTCCTTCACCATCTGTGTGACTTTCAAAATTCTTTCCCAAGTACTGGACTTTTTTCTCTACAGACACTGGATCACACAAGGGGACCTGAACCCCCATCTCCATACTTTCAGCTTTGCTACTAAATGATGATTGGAGAGGTTGTTGGTGATGTGGTATTTCCCTCTTTTCAGAATGTACACCAGTAGCCAACTGAAATGCAGGACTGTGAGAGCTGTCTGAAGAAAGCACCTGATTTGATGAATAGGAGGACTCCTTGGGAGAAATGTTCCTAAAGCCATTAGTATCAGACTTAACAGCAGAGAGTGTTGGAAAAATTGAAGTGTGATCTGAAATATGACTGCAATCTTGCATGTAGGGAATGTCATTCTGCAAGTAACCAAAGGATTCAGGTCCCGATGCTTGTTTTTGCTGCTGAATGCCTCCTGATGGAAGACTCTGGTCAGATGTGGCTTCAAAAGGAGCTTCTTTGTCTTCAGTTGGAAGGCTTCCATTATAGTAAAACGAACCACCATATGGATTTTTTCTCTTTGAGTCATATCGGCTTTGATTCTTTTGCTGCTTTTTGTGCACATTGCTCTGTCAAAGATGATTATTACATGGAGTCAGGACTTTAAATCTTTCCAAGTTCATTTTCAATACCAATAAAATGTACAATGTCTAACACTGCCAACTTGCAGCTACAAACAAATAGGCATGATTGTGACTGACAATTGTTAAAACGAAGTCCAACAGCAAGACCACACTAAAATAAGTTTAAAAATTTCTGGACTGCAAAAATTACATGCTCTGCAATTTTTTCCCTTAAACAGAAGTACAAAATATACCATTCCAGTGCTACCAGTTGTTGAGATGTTGGTGGCCGAGATCCTCTGTTGTACTTCGTTGTTGAGCTCAACAGCCTACACACAATTAAAAAAAAAACAGTTAATTCAAACCAAAACGTTTCATCACTGAGTTTTTCTGAAAGAAGTGCTAAGATGAAAATGTTATCACCAGCTTCAAAATACATTGAGATTACTGACCTGCTTTCTAGGCCTATAATTATCCTTGCTGTCATAGCTACGAGTCCCAGACATATCACCAAAAGTGTCGGATTCATCTTTGTCTGACGACCAGGAATTATTTTTACAGCTAACAGATGCCACTTCAAAGCTAGTATCATTCAAAGAACAGCAGGTATCATTTAATCCTACAGGCTCATGGTTTTCTGAGTCTTTAGCCATTGCACCAGAGGCAGGACATGAAGCTTTGAATTCTGACTTCAAAGCATCTGCAGATCCTCCAATTGCGTCTGATGATGAAAACCATCCCAATTCATCTTCATTACTAGCCCCAAGTCCAAACGTTGAATCACAACTTCTGGAAGGAAAAATGTACAACAATATAACTATAACAGCAGTTTTGAAGAATTGACTCTAAGTGAAAATGAGGCCAATAATTACCTAAACATCCTGTCCACATCCTCGAAGTTTCCAATATCTGGCCAACTATAGTATAAGAAATCACTGGAATCTTTGCCATTTTGATCACTGTCAAAGAAGCTAAGATCGTCGTCTGTTTGGGACAGAGGGTCCAGAGGATAATTGTACGAGTTACTATCAACTGCAGCACTCTCGTCGATGAGCATGGAGTCAGTGGTACATAACTCATTTCCAAGCAAATCTGTATTACTGCTTTTGAAGCAATGACTTGATGCCCTGGCACTATCAGATGCTAAACTTGGCACTTCTTTAACGGAGTTACTATTGCATGAAGAAGGAAATATGCCATCAGGCGTGTCTGACCAGGAATTCTTTTCCAACATTATCTTCCTTCTATTGTTCAGAACTGATGTATTTCCTAGGTCCTTTTCCTGGCAAACAATGTCTTTTGCTGATTGTTCTTTAGAATTACCCAGAACACTAAACTGATGTCGAGGTTTTTTACGGCTGTCACCTACAAATAATTGTTCACTTGCTGCTTCGCCAACAGGATGGGGAACTATATGGTCCTCACTCTGGCAAAATTCATCCCATACTATGTCTCCAAACTGTAAAAGCAGTTACAGAATTTTAGCTGTAATAACTGCAGAAGTGCTCCCATAAAATGAGTGAAACAAATCCAAAAGAAGAGACAAAAATAGCATATGTATCATAAATAAGAAGTTGCAAAGGCAAGTCGCACCACCCAACTTGGATTTTTTACATTCCAAACATCACTTTACTTCGTTGAGGAAGCTCAACAGTACACCAACAATACCAAATAAAATTATACATAGTCCAATTCAACATGATTTTGAGCCCTCCATCCCCAAACACCATCACACAGTCCAACCTCATCAAAATGTCAAAAGTACATTAAATATCTTTAAAGGGCACATCTGAAATAACAAGACAGCAAATTTATGTATCTATCTTCATGTGAAGGACTCCCATCGACTACAAGCACACAATCCGACCAAAGGGCAAACGTTTATCTACAAACCAAGAACTCCAAAGAAAATAGATATAGACAGTATAGCCTTAGAGCAAATACAAATTAGGAATAGACTTAACTTCCGTCCTAAGGATGAATGGAAAATTTTCCAAGCGATTATACAAGACTAAAAGGAACATTTTTGTCTACATAATTTACTTTGGACCACCTAAATATTCTAAACAATAGCATCAACATAAATGAAAGGTCATGTTTTTGCTGTCTCGGCTTTCACATGATTGCTATAGGAAGGCATATACAAAAGAGAACGGAAAATAACAAGCATCCAACATCTCAAACAGTAGAACAGTTGGTTAACTATGATGCACCAAGAAATTAAAAAAAAAAAAAGCATAAAAAACTAGATGTATTTTGAGCCCACCTTGTGACTCAGTTTATAAAAATCGTATCATATGGTAGATGCAAGATTAAATCCAGTTATCTGGAGCAAAAACTTGCGCCTTTCTTATTACTTAACATGAACAGTCTTTATAGCGTGTTTGAACTCCTATATCAGATAATTAGTCTGGAAAATAGTTACAGCAACTATGAGCTGAACTAAGTTACAAAGGAAACTATGTGTTCATTGGAATACAATAATTTAGGAAAAAAATTTCAAATATTATTCTGCTTGCATCATAAAGACAATTTCCAACCACCCTTCTATAATCCCAACCATCTTCTTATCTCACATGCATCACATCGCAAAAGTCTACAGTGTTATTCTAAATAATTTTTCCAAAATAATCTCCTGTCCAAACACACCCTATATGTTTGCTTGTTAAAGCAAGAATATGTTATGCCAAGCACCTTCAGTCCCACCTCCTTTTAGATTTTCAAGGGCAGAAACACACAAAACTTGTTCTATCTATGATGACATCAGGCCCACATTACATATGGTACTGTAAGAATGAACAAGATGAACAAATCAACAAAAGAGGAAAAAAAGACTTTCACAGCAATTGTCAAGCAGGTTATCCAAGAAGATGGAGTTGATGGTACTAAGTAAAAATCAACAGGATGTCAACACAACTACAACCTATTAATAAGTGCATCAATAGTACTTGTTTATCATCTTATCTGTGTTTCTCAGGACTGAAAATCCCAACCAAAACCTCTTCCTTGCAACTTGGTCAAATTCTTTGTTCTTTCAAACATATTGTACACTCTTAACACAGAACACACACTCCTACAAAAACAAATAACTTAACAACTCATTTAAAAACTCCCTTGACATATAGTTGCATAAGTTTGGCTATTTCCATGGTGTGCCTAGTCACTAATGCCCAGTCTTTTGCAAGATGTTGCCCTCTTGCTTTTGCAAAGTCAACAACATCCACAATGTACGGATGGTGCACTCTCTACAAAATCCCATGATTAAGTCAATACATAACTGATGTTTACAAATTTTCAATGAGCTAAAATTCAGTTCTTATCTAACTTAGGTCTTGTGCTCTTTAGTCCAAAGATGCATATTGTTGGAAAAAGACAAAAAATCTACAACTTATTTTTATAGCCCTAAAAGGAGTTTTTTTTCAAAACCTCAATGACGACATCAAAGAACACGAGTACATGACTACTTCAAACAAAATTTAGCAATTAAAATACATTCCAATGTGACTATAAGTTCTCAATCTCGACAAACAGAAGTGACCAACGACCTTTAGATTTCATGCACAGCTAAGTGAAAACTATGCAAAGTTGTTCCGATGGCGAGCCAATAAATGACTGGGTGAGAAGAAAAGGGGGAAAAATACAAAATAGAATAGCACAAAGATTGTTTGGAACTCTAATCTTTTTCGAGGCAGTATACTTTTCTGCCCCCTGTTAGTAGCATTCCCAATTATAGATTTTACAGATTTGAATTATATACCAAGTAAAAAAAGCAAAATATTTAGGAAACGCTAGAAATTGAATTCTGTATAGCTCCCACTTGAATACAACCATCACTTGTAGAATATCGAATTCAATGAAGCTCAACAACTCAAGTGTCTCGTCATTTTTGCTTCGCAGTACTGAGGAAGCCAGCGCACTAGGCTTCATCTATTGAAAGGTTTATATGACCTTATCTCACATAAGCAAAATGATTATTCATCCGCCTCAAAGTTATAACTTCCTATAGAAAAACTTCACCTTTTGGCCAAAGCTTATTATAAACATACAAGAAAACTAAGCTATGCTCAAGGTCTCCAACTTGATACTGATAACATGTTATTCACTTTATTGAAGGACAAAAGAAATGAGATATTTCAAGGAAGGCCTAAAGACAAATAGATTCAAGAGCAGAAAGTATAAGTATAGTGACTATTCCAAAAAAAATATTGTTTATAATAGATGATTGTGGTTATATTACAGATATTTTCTAAAAACTACGCTTGTGAGAACAAATGCATTAAAGTTAGAGAATATCTGCACAATTTAAATGCCTATAAGCAGCAGAATAATTTCACATCTTGCTTTTAGTATCAAGTAGTGTTGCAAAATTTTTCAGCCATTACGTTGCTATTGTGCACGAACTCAATAATGTTTCAGTGAGGAACAGCACTTTCGTTAGCCAGAAAAAAAAAATACAGCAAAAATCTAACATATGAAGAACCATTATGCAGAAATAGTAAAAGAAAAACCCCAACAACCCGTGGTCCAAAAAAGTCACGGTATAATGTTTCAAAATTGTCCGTTCACCTAAATATAATCAATCCAAAAATTTATAGACATGATCGTTACCATAACATTATACAAACCAAGGACAGATTCTTCAAAACTCAACATATGCATCATTGAGTTTTGTGAGCAAGATGGAATGTACTTACAAACAAAGCCATTGAAAAGACAAAAAAGGAGTTGAAAATGAAGTCGACGCTGGTTAGATCGTGAACCATGTGTCAGTTATTTCTTTCATGCTTGTTTATCCGTCAGTGGCTTGCACATCTTCCATTCTGTTTTTTCAAGCAGGTATAAAGTTTTTCCATTGTTATAAGTGCATAGGAGATTGGCTATTTGTATTCAATGCTTTCGCAAGTTGTGTTGTCCTTTGTAGCAAATAAGGTCTATAAACTAAATTAAATTAGAGAAAAGAACTATGACTACCAATCATGACATCTTTGGACATGATAGTGTGGGACCTAAAATCTTATCATATCAACTAGGGAAGCAAAGAAGTTATAAGCATTTGATCTTCTTCAATTCAATATAAATACCAATAAAAACAATAAACAATTTTCCAATATAAATTTCCTATCTTTCTTGAACTTCTCTCTAGTTAAAAGGAGAAATTACTAAATAACTATAATATCAAAAAATGTCCTCCGATAATATAGATTTAATTCGTATCTGGTGGTCAGCTGACAGACATTGATATGTCCACCCACTGCTTAAAAGCTACAGATCTGGTTTCTGAAACTTAGCCTCTTTATGTAAGACATATTACGTATACATGGCACTTAAGGAGTCCTCCATCATTGATATCACTGTGGAAATAACACTAACGGACAAAAGTTTTGCAACCTATCTACAGGTTCTCATGTGAAGAGCGTGTAGCCCAATACGTCTTTGGTAGAAAATTAAATTCAAGAATAAGTCCCACACTGCAATAGGTAGCTGACAAAGGGAAACAACCTAGAAGTTGTCAAACTTCAATATGTTCAACGTGTCGGATACTTTTAATTGCCCAATATCTACTTTTTCGATCAATATCATCATGCACGATATTCAATTGCATCAAGACCATTCTCAAATCACCATAAAGAGACAGAAATTCCAAGTATTATAGACTATCCATAGCTGTCATATTTAAGAAAGCATATGTAGTAATCATTTGCATATCAGTTAACTATGCTGACCGTTACTTTGATCATCAGCAAGTTCTCATGAATTATTTATTAACCTCGTCACCTATCCTGAGTAAGGTCAAGGAAGTTAAGCATTTACTGTTGCACTACCATGTTGTTACTGAATTCAAATCTGAGCAACAAAAGATTGCTGTTGCCAGTGACAGAATATTCCAATTATAGAGTTGCATTACATTTAACACCTTCAACAACTTGGAAGCTTCTTAATGACCAGAATTCGTTATATCTCCCGTGTACTAGCTACCATAAAATACATAAACCGAGAGGCCAAGTTTTGAACCATGTTAACAACATGGTTCAAAATGCCAACCTATGATGATCAAGTCATCATAGGCTGACCAAAATGCTAACCTCATTTAAGCAATCACAAGAGCAGATTGGGTATGCAAGCATAGATGCAAATTGACCAATCGGAAAAGTTACAGTACCTCATACATGGACAAGTCTGACATTCCTACAATTTCTCAACCAGAACTCAAACCACATGCAGCTTGCTGATCTGGTATCATACTCCACAACCCAAACCCTCTTCCCACCTTCGTTCGTAGAATTTCAAACACAGAAAAGGACAAAAGCATTAGAATCTGATCTCCAATTGATTTCTTTCCTATTCCATCAATTCAAAGACAACAAAAATGAGAAGAAGGAGAAAAAAAAAAGAGGAAAAGTTTTTATTTTTTCTGAAAAGCAAAACAAGCATAGAGAACAGAATTCTGATCTAAAGGGATCTTTGAAAAAAATAAAAATAAATAAAAAAAGGTAAGATCTTTACTTCAGCTAAGTACAAGCTTTAGTAAATTCACCTCAGTTCTACTTTAAGAAATGAAAACTTGAAATAGCTTTGTTATCATATTAAACTTGCTTTTTATCTTCCTTCATTTCTCAACAACCACAAAAAGCATATGGCACAGCATAAAACAAGTTACATATGAAGATTTTTTTTTTTTTTTTAAAGCTTACATATGAAAATCAAACAAAGAAGAAAGCCAATAACAAGACTAAAACAGTCCAGTTAAAAATAAAAATAAAAATAAAAAACTAGAAGTACTATTTTCAGCTAAAGTTGATAGCTTAAACAAAGATACTTGACGGAAAACTCACCGGAAAATCAAGAACTATGCAGAAAGTAAGAAATTTCGATTGAATCCAGTAACGCAGTGGCAAAACCCTAATTTGATGATGAAGGACACAAATCTGGGAGGTTCTAGAAACCAGGGAAGACAGGAGAGAGATAAAGGAAGAAGGATATTGCTCAGCGGCTGTTGGGGTGGGGGGGGGGGAGAGAGGAAATAAAAAAAATAATACAAGTAAAAAAAATTTTTCTCTTCTTATGGGTATGAATATTTTAAAGAAATTGTTAATATTATTTAAATAATGAGTGATACGCATGAGGTGCCACGTGGGAAGGAGATCAAAACAAGGGCGGTAGAGCGACGGGTGGGTATCAGAATTCGTGGACGAGAGGGCGGCTGGAGATACGATCTGTTTCTGCGACGTGATTGGTCCAGGTGCGTGTTACGTTTTAGTGAGGTTAGACACGTGTCAATTTTCTGGGGTGGTTGTACGGTCGGGAAGGAGAAACGGGTTGTGGGTAAAAATTGCGGACATGGTTTTCAACGGTGGACACTTGTTTTGCGGCCGTTCTAGTTGCTTCGGCGGGTGTAATACTGCGGTGGAAAGTTGATAAGTGATAACGTTTGCATTTTATTGGTTTTTTTTTTTTGTGATGCTGACTCATTTGTATCTTTGCTAGTTTTGGATAGTTTATGGAATAAACCCCTAAGAGAATATTTGCAGTTCTTTTTTTTTATTTTAAAAAAGAGAACTGCTTTTTTTTATTTTTTGGTTTTTTTTAATGTTCCATAGGTAATGATTTTTATTTGGAGACTGAAAATGCAGTATACAAACATATGAAGAAAAATGAATGATAGCAGCATTAAAATACCCATTGAAAAAAAACCCCCCAAAAAAAATTTGTTTTACAAGAAGATCTTTACTTTTATAGTGTAAAATTAAGGGTGGTGCGTTTGATAAAACTTCAATTCGAAATATGAAATCTGAAGTGTGAATCCGTTAAGTTATTGAATTGTTAAGTATTAAATCCAATATAATTGAGTGCATATTACATTCAGTGATAAGTGAATGGTTTATTAATTAATTTTGAGAGCAAGTTTTGTTTAGAAAATTCAGTGCCACTTAGTTAATTCAATTCAGATGTTCAATTTTTTGTTATCAAATTGTCCCGGTACAATAAGATCTGATTCCATTAAATTTAAGTACTAAATTGGATTGTCATGCAACACCTAAATGGGCCTAATACATTTACTGAAGGCCTAGCCTGGGCCTTACAAAGTTGTCTGTGGGCAAAAAGAGTTGTCCCATCCTCGGCTCATGTTTCATCCAAAGTTCACGAGGTTTGAAGACTTTGTGATCTGTTTTGATCCTTATAAATTCTCGTTTATTTGCTAGTATTTTTTTTTTTCATTTTCAGGATAATTATTACTTAACGAAAACAAATTGCTCATTACCTTCAACTTGACCACGCATAGATTAAAAAGTTACTTAATAAAAAAAATAATCTAAAATTCAATATATCAATATCGAGAATGATCACCAATGGTGTCTTCTTTTTACAATAATTGAAATCATGGGATTCTTGAAATGACACGATTGAAAATCTAGAATCAAAATTATATCGGAGAGTTTCAGTGTTATTTTTGTGCTAGGATAAGATTTGTATGAAGATATAAAAAATTTAAGTGATGAGAAAAGCAATAATCAAGAAAGCCATAGGATTTTAGAATGGCAATATTTTTGGGTGACTCTAAAATTTATGATTTAAGAAATTTGAAATGTCATGAATTTACAAATACCACAGATTTGACATAACAGGACGCTTGAATTCTTAAAACCAAAATGATCTATAAATTGATTCGCTTTTGTGAAGTAACTATTAAGTAATACAACTCAAAAAGCGAGTACTGAACTTCAAGATCTTAAATTAATTTAAATTAACTCTGAAATTGATATGAGTTTGAAATGTATAAAATTCAAGGGTTTTTCCACTGCTTTCACCATATCTTGCTGCACATCTTTTAGAGCCCGTTTGAATTATTATTTTTTGAGTTTTTACAATATATATATACATTATATAATAATTTGATATATGTAAGTTAAAAAGATAATGAAATAATATATTCATGAAAAATAAAATTTTTTGAAGAAAAATAACAATCCAAACAAGGGCTTTTTACATTTTCGATATCTCAGACGTGTGCTTTTTAATGTCCACCAAGTTCTTGTACTCTCTAACAAATATGTGAGAGGACCTTCTCCACTCTTGACCTTTATGCTTAGGCCCACATTTACTTTTATCATTTCCGATGAAATTTGAATAAGCAAGCAAGCAAGCTTCAACATCCGCTTTCTTCATCAACCACAAAATGATGCAATTCCTTTTCTTGTACCCCACATTTTTTGGGAAAAACCAAACATGTCCGTGATGTGAACAGCAAGTTTTTCGTTGTCTGTCTTTATATCGTCAAAACTTCTCTAATGATGTGGTAATCATATTTCAGTTTTTCAGGTCTCCATAAGCAAACGGGGAGCAAAGAAGGGACTCATGAAAGCAACTTGTCCAGAGGACTGGCAGGGAACCTGGTACTAGTAACTTCAAATATTTTTTTTTTTCTTGTTAAGCTTTAACTTGCTTTAAGATTGGGTTCTACCATCATCAAATCCAGAATAAGCCATATTTTCAGACATCTTTATCCAATCCAACCAGTGATTTGCTTCCAAATCATCAATTGCTATACCTGGAAAAGGCCCCGACTGCCTATTTCATGCATGATCCTGCCCGCTTCCTAAACTTAATATTTAATTAAAGTAGATAATCATGCAAGACAAACAAGCCAATCAACTAATAATTCATGGTACAAATAAAAAAGAACAAATAAAAAAAGGGCAGATCCAAGCTGCAGTGTAGCGTAGATGATCACTTGCCCTCTTCGAGCTCTGCAATGCTTCGGAAGGTAGACTCATCACAAGGTATAACAATGCCGTTTCGGTTGTCGAAGCCATACATCTCTGCAGACATCTGGAGCAGTTGCTGGAACGAATGTTTTTTCAAGTAGGACACAGGAAGAACAAATCTTTTCAAACAAGCACCTACGTAAACTACGAAGTGCCTCCTTGGAGTTCTTCCGCTCATGCCTCCTTCTTGGTACGCTGCAACCTTGGACGACATTGATTCGTTACTAGCCAAGTTGAGGGCTTCCAAATACTGCTTATTTATACGGGATGGAACCCTATAGTTGAATTGTCGCCGACGTGAAGGACTTGATTAATATACAGCTGTTGTAGGGCTTGCCAAGAAGCCATGAAGGGTGGGGGAAATTTGACTCCAGCTGATCGAGCATGTGTAGCCGTTCTTTTGCTCGGGGAACATGTTGTATTGTCGTGCAAATTTGATCTTTTCTTGGTTGCACATGGCGTCGATATCTGCCTATATTTCAGCTTACAGTTTTCTGATAGGAAACTAGGATGCAGGTAACATGAAAAAAAAAAAAAATTATGAACGTAAGAATAATGTGAAGCACATGTCAAAAACTTGAGATGATGAGTGCATTTGCGTGTCTATATCTAAAAGTAAATCGTGAATGTGGTTCTTTTAATTTGAGTTTTGGACTGAGTTTAAGGAGTGGTTTCTTGGCTGCCGACTGCCAACCTTGGAAGGATATTTAGGCCTGAAAGTAGCAGCACAACCATACGTACGTGGTTAGTGTATCTTACACAAACCCCTCTTCTGGCTCTGGTTGTTTTCTCTCTCTGGCCCTGCTATGACATATGGTTGTTATGGCCTCGTTTGAACCTTGACCTCCTAGACTTTACCCATACGTTGTACTTTCATTTGTTAATCAGAGAGTAACATGCAGTATTCGTGAAGGTGAAGGAGCATATATGTTAACGAGGGAAATGAGATTGAGACTATTGCGAGCTAATGCTCTAAGACTCCAGATCCTTTGTATTAGCTTGATACGTTGGATTTGCAACTTAAAATTGCAAAGGTTGGACTGGGTCTCCCTGGTTGGAGGTTGGAGTAAGAAATGCATGTCTTGTAGGATGGGAGGTCAAGAGTTCAAACCTTATCTCCCATCAAAATTATCATTTGATGTGACTTCTTTTAAATCCATATGAGTCCATCAAAATTATTATTTGATGTGACTTCTCTTAAATCCATATGAGTATATAATGCACTCGTATAGTCCGATAGTGGTTCAGTCCCCGTGACCCTGTTGGGTCACCCCCTTAGAATGGATTAGAATAAGAATAGGAGTAGGTTTAGATGATGACAATCGATCTCAAAAAAAAAAAGAAAAAAAAGACTGATCGGCCAGACAAGACGTAACAGATCCTTACCCAAGCAAAACTGTCTCAGAAATGATGATAGAGGCAAGTACAAGATGTTCAATTTCGAAGTTAGGTCTAGTCAACTCAGTAGAATTAACTAGTTATCAAAGTTCATTCATTGAGCACTTCAACCAAAGATTAAAGTCTCAGATCTGGCAAAGCACTCGCACTTGAGAAGCATTCAAAGTACTGTACTTCTAACGATGAAAGCCTACATATATGCCTTGAAACAAAACAAAAAAGAGCCCTACATCTGTTTAAACTCATACAATGTGAGGTTTAGGGATTAAAACTATTGGAAAGTACATTAACAACAAAATAGTACATTACAGCTCCATTTTCAAGTAACTGAAAGCATAGTTGCCTCTTCTTTACACTCTGCAGATCCCAGTTAAGGACCAAGTGAACAAACTTTGAAGAGCAAAATTGAAGAAATGGATTCTGTCTTAGGATATTCGTACAGATAAATACCCATTCCTCATGGATACTATTCAGTGGGGAGTGCAAAATGTAATAACCCCTGAAGGGAGAACAACAACATGAGCCTTACCAAAGAGGGATGATTTGTATCACTTCTTCAAAAGCTTGTGGGAAAAAATTCTCTTAGAATACGGACTGTTACGTGAGATTGCCTTGTGGGACTCAATTGCCTCAACCAACGAATTGTGAAGAGGACCCTGATTTCATATCGAAGGTTAAATTATTAGGATACACATGCTTATCAGCATTCATTGGCCTCCAAATCTCTTAAATAGATTGCAAGCAAAATAAGCAGCCAACTGGTAACTTAAATGTCCGGAAAATCTAGAGTGCATTCAACAAACTTAACAGATCAAATCCCAGGAAAAAACTTGTTCAACTAATTCATTCCAACAA